CTCCCTGGGGCTTGGTGTCCTTTGCCTGGGGCTGCAGCAGGTCCAGCCACCCCAATTTGCAGGATAAATGCACCAGTTCATCCCACATCTACAGCTAAGGAGGGAAGAGCTGTAGGAGGGGGACTGTTCTCCCCAGGAATGTTACCCTCGTTGTTGATCAGGGTGGAGGAGGAGTCCATGAGGATGTTTTCTGTGCGGCTTTCTCCTTTGCTGCGGTCCAGTCTGGACTCGCTGCCCAGCCCAGAGGGGATGTCCTTCAGGTTAAAGCTGGGGAAAAAAAGCCACATTTAATAGGTCATGGAGGTTTAAAGGTTCCATTCCATCCAACAAATGGCCTGGATAGAGGTGTCCAGTTGCAGTTGGAATGGTGAAACATGGGAGAAGGTGATTTCCCTGAGAGCAGAAGTCACTTGTCCCCACTGTGTGACTTAAAAACAAAGACGTTGCAATTGTGGTCACAGCCCTTCCTCCAAGCCTGGTGTCACTGCACACGCACTGCAAAGGTCCTTCTGAAGAATTTCAGTGCTGAGCAGACCCTCTGCTCTACCTCCTTCCCCTCAGAGGCAGGTGAACAGGAGCTGCCTCGCTCCAGGGTGCTAGGCTGTTTGTTATTCACCATCATGCTCAGCTTTCACTGATGGAAAAGGGAAGGGATGGGGCTGGAGCAGAGCCCAGCAGTGTTTCAGTCAGTGGCAGAGCAACCCAGCTGGAGGCAGAGCTTGGTCAAGGACAGTGCTTGTTTCTTTTGATGTTATTTGAGGATCTGTCACTCACTGTGGGAACATGGCCCTGAGAGGTCTGACAGCTAATTTGGAGTCCTCACCCCTCACGTTTATGTCATTGAGAAGAGGAAAAACAAGTTTTCCTGCTTCATCAGCCCACAATGGGGCTCTCACAGAGCTGGGCTGTGCTCTCCCTTGGAAAGTCAGAAGAAAACCTCTGCACACTCCCAGCCCCAGCTCCAGCCATGAGACACCTTCTCCACCCCCAGCCCTTGGTCACCATCCCCGTGCTGGCACTGCTGAGGCATCTCCAGTGCTGGGGCAGTTCTGGGCCTCTCTCAACAAGGACACTGAGAGGCTGGAGCGTGTCCAGAGAGGGGAACAGAGCTGGAGAAGGGTCTGG